TATAATATGTGAAGGTGTAGTCTGATCGTCCGGGTGAGTGTAGTCCTGAGAAGGACTGTCGTCGGTGGTAGTGACTGACGTTTCGACAACCTGTGCGGAAGTCATCATCAGAGTCAAGTGAATGATTGTTGTCAGTAGAATATTCTCCTTCTCAGGACTAAACTCACCCGGACGAAAACACTACACTTTCATATAAATGTGTGTGTACGGTCAGATAAATTTTTGAGAAGTAAACCAACGGATAGGCAGACAAACAGAGAGAAAGGCTTTCAATCACTTAACTCATCGAAGTATGGAGGAGGTAAGTATGAGTTAGCTAAATTAAGCCACTGAAGGAACTACTCCTCTAAGTGTTTATGAATATACAACTTAAAACTTACAAATTATTTGTAACATTGAATTTCTGAGTAAAGACATCCACTGGAAGTTGTTTGATCTTATTACTTCGTACGATTCTGGAAAACATTGAAGCCAGATGTTCAGTAAAGAAAAGTCTAGTTTCATTAGCGCCGAAAAGAACAGACTCATCAGTTGTAGTAAATTCCAAATCTGTTTCAGGCTCACAGGTAGTGAAGACGAGCAAAACCTGGCGACGGCAACGGAGATTGCCTGCACACGTGTGCATTTCCTATTTTCGATCATCTCCACTTCCTGAGAGTCAGGCCAAGGCTAATTGATGAATTCAATACATTGATGTTTGCTCACAGATTTCGAACGTATTTTATGGTTGAGTAGTGACGCTGTGAAATCTCGGTGATTTCATTTTCAACAATAGATCTGAAATGAAATAGAAAAATAGAACCAGTTAACGAAAGCTTGTTCGATTACGAGAAGGAGAGACTGACGCTCAAAAAAAAAAAAGAGTTTCTTTTAATCTTGAACTTTCAAGGCATATCTTGCCACAGTTTTAAAACGGCAGTTATCCCTGCTGAATGCGTGAAAACTGAACATCTAATGGCCGTTACACTCGCCTGAAGGGAGAATTTCTTTCAGATCATAATCTGGGGAGTGTTAATCGATTGGTGTGGTATTATCAGCAGAGTTAATATGGCGATTTTAAAACTATTCAGCCTAACGTTACTTACGAATAATGTATCACTTACAATATTTCCAGTTCTAAAATACCGCTAAAATCTGGCAGTGAAGTCAACTTGTTGTCACTTAAATTCCTAAAAAATTCAAAAAAAGCGGGGTCACATACTACTTTAGTTACCGACACAGGAACTTGTCTCTAATTGTTCACCCTCCCTAAAAGTGGGAACTGTTTCTTTTCTTAGTTCATAAAAAGATTCTGTGACATTAAAACTCTTGATTGTGTTTCTATTGAAGATTTTGCGAAGCTTATGGTCTTTAGGAAAGTGTTTGTCTATCAGCGCGAGGAATTTATGCCCGATGTTAGCACTGGTGTTCTTGCTGAAAGGTTGGTTGAACCATAGGATCTTGTTGCGTTGACGATTCTTGCGTCTTTACGTGTCCGTTGGTTCATAGTGAAGTGTGTACCTGTATCCACTGTCGTCTAGTGCTTTCTGGTAGGCAGGAGCTACTTGGTCGAAGGAAACTTTGTTGGATGAGAGAGATTATAAGCGTCTGTTGATACCGATGAGGATGCTTTTTGTGGTGATCGGTGGGTGGTTGCTCTCGTGGTGGACATATTGCAGTGTGGTGTTAGGCTTTGTGTATGGTTGGTAGGTGTTTTGGCTGAGGTTAAATGTGACGTTTAGGAAGTTGATTACTTGTTTGTTGGCTTCTATGGTGATGCAGAGTCCGTTGGCGTTAAAAATGTGGCATATCTCTTTCTTGTTGTTTTCAGTGTCCGTAGTTGTGGCGTAAGTGGTGGCAAGTCCGTCGCCTCGGTTTCGCGAAAAAAAAGAAAACACAACCAATGGGAAAACACCTCAGCCATCATCAACTGGTTTCGGTCTACAAGCAACAAACACAACTCCACCTTCATCTGCTTCGACATAGAAGAATTCTACTCATTCATCAGCCTGGCCCTGAACAAAGCACTAGACTTTGCATTCAATTTCGACTGCACTACCGCTGACAAAAGGAACATTACAATTCATGCAAAAAGCTCGGTTTTAACCCGCAAACAGCAATCCTGGCAAAAAAAGGTGACACTACATTTGACTTAACTATGGGCAGCTACGACGGCGCTGAAACCTGTGAACTTGTCGGAAACTTTCTCCTCTCCCAGCTACAGAATCTTAGAATAAACGTTGTTAATTAGTAGAGTATATAAGTAATGGT